TCAGATAAAAATTATTTTTAAAAATATATTTAGTAATTTTATTAAAAAATTATTTTTAGTATAAAAAAATTTATTAATGTCTCTCTCTGCTCTCGAGATGAAAAAATAAAAATAAAGAATGTTTTTTGGTGTGTTTGGAAATCGTTTTAAAATGATTTTGTTTTTTGTATGAAAATGAAAATGAAAACGTTTTTAATCTCATACATAAATCATTTTTAAAAATACGTTTAGTAGTTTTTTCAAAAGATTATTTTTAATATAAAAAAATTCATTAATATCTATCTCTTTCACTATTTGAAAGAGGAGAAAATGGAAACAAAAAATGAAAAACGACTAAAAGTCGTTTTTCATTTCTCTCATTTTACACTAAACTAAAAAATCGTTTTCATTTCTGTTTTTGTCTTTAATTGTGCCAAACGTTATTTCTCTTCCGTTTTCATTTTTTCTCTTTCGAAAAACGTGAAAAATAAAAACGAAAACAACTCCAAACACAGCTTTCATTTCTCTCTCATTTTACACTAAACTAAAAAATTATTTTCATTTTTATTTTTTATTGTTATTGTGTCAAACGTCGTTTTGAAAACGTTTTCATTTCTTTTTTGAAAAACGTGAAAAATAAAAACATGATCAATTCCAAACACAACTTTTTTTTTTATCAACTCCTTTTTTTTTTTTTTTGCTCCAAATATTCTCTTTGGCTTTTCCTTCATACCAAAAGTGCATATAGCTGTCTGTTTTTTTTTTTGTTTTTTTTTAATCTATTTATGAATTCGTTTAGTCATTTAATCGTTGGTCCTTGATTAATTACAACCGTCCTTATTAGCTTCTTTTTTCCCCCTTTTTCCTTTTTTTTTTGTGGATAAATATTTAATACTTTAGGTGCAGTTAGTTTGGAATAACATTTTCTTCTTTCACACTCCAAGTTTGCCAAAAAAAAAAAATTTTTTTTACGCAAAAAAAAAAAAAAAGTTTTCCAAAACATAACCTATAGAAACATTACACTAAACAAAAGAAAGAAAGTTGATTCGAACAAAAGCTGTTCTTGTATTCCGAGAACCACTACCACAAAAAACTAAAATAAAAATAAAGAGGAAAAGAAAAATGTGAATTATCTTTTGCAATTCTGTGCTATGAGAATCCACTATTCCGTGTGATTTTAATGTCTAAATCATGCTTCATTTGCTCATCAACTTCTCCACTTTATACCTCACAACTAGTAAAATCATCATTAAAGGGGTCAAAATCAACATTCAACCGAATGAGAGTATAAATTTGACGTAAAATTAAAATCCAAGAGTATAATACTTAGGGCACAAAAATACATAGTTATAGTTCTAATAAGCTTAAAAAATACAAGATATAAAATATTTTTATAAAATACAAGATAAAAAATAATAAATAACTTTATAATAAAAAGCGCGTGTCATTATTCAGGACTTGAGAGTTTCATAATAAAATATAGACCGTTCACCAGAACGCATTTAGATGAGCTGTTACGTCAGCAGCTATAGAGGTAAATTCACATCCTTTATGATCTATTAGAGTCCATTGGATTTAAACTAAAATGGATCTTATAACATGTACACACGTTTATGTTCTGTTTGTTTTGAGAATTCTGTCTTAATTTTGAATCATAATTCTTAATTTATTATAGTGTTTTTTTTATATAAAATTAAAATTATAAATTATGATTATGAATCTACGAATATTATAATTAGTTTTTTTTGGTTATTGTGCAGTAGATCTCGTGTACATATAATATATATATATAAGTACCCCATAAACAGTTCCTTCTTATGGTTTCATGTGTCTTTTAAGTACTGGGACTGAAAACATTGTTCCCTACAAAATGGGGACTAATTCCTCAAAAAACACGAGCACTTCAGTCCCATTACAACTCCTCAGAAATCATGTGACCTTTTTTTTAAAAAAAAAAAAAAAAAAAAAAAAGCTTTTCACCAACCGGCTTCTTTCTTTACTGTAACCATGTTTTAGTCTTATTGACACACCTTTTGTTTTTCTTTTTTCTTTTTTCTTTCTTTCTCTCTCTATCTATTAGTGACTTCTACAGTAGTTCACAATTGTCCCCCTTTTTTTTTTTTTTTTTTTTTTCAAAAAAGAAAAAAGGTTTATTAGCATTTAGCACGTTTTTACTTTAAACTATCGTTGGTTTTTCACTTTGATCCTTGAATTAATTGTTGTGACAATTTCATCCCCAAATGTAAATAGATTGTTCAGTGTTGAATGTTACTCCCATTTATACTGGATGTTAACTTTCTCATGTTTCATTTGCAGAACTGGCCCTTCCTTTTCTTTAAATTGGAATAAATGTCCCCTATGCTTGTATAAGATTAAAATTGATGGTAATTGAATTTTTAGTTTTAACATCATCTAAAAGATAGCATTAGTCCGTTTTTGTTTTCAATCGACGAAGATAGTGTATTCGTCCGTTGGAGATGGAGTGTTACTAGGTACCAGTCATTCTTTTTAAATTAAGGGACCAAAATGACAAAACTTCTAAGCAAGCACTAAATTATGAAACCACTAGTAGGGCTGATCAAGTGGTCTTCTTTCGAGACAAGAGGAATATTGAAAACTGAGAGGAAAAAAAAGTCTACATTCTTTGAGTTCCTAGAACATAAGCTAACATGTTTTTGGACTAAAAAGTTAAAGTTTTTCAGAGGCATAAGATCGACAAGCACAGCCTGGACATGTTTTAAATGTTCCTAATTTGAGCAGCTGATCATAGCTGACCACTTCTACTATAAACTGCAACTAAAAAAAAACTACTTTTAACCCGCATGTGATTTTTATGGTGAGACTTGTAAAAAATGAAATATCGATAAATTTTTATTTTTTTATTGTCAAATCTATATAAGAAAATGTTTAATCTGCGTACTTTTTAATTTTGTTATGATTTTGATTAAATTAACAGTTAGAGATGTGCGCACTACTTATGAGGTGAATCCTTATTAAAAAAAATTATGACTACTTTCATAGTTACTTCACTCTCCAGAGTATCTGACCCGTATCTAAATTGTAAATAAAAAGTGGTTCATAGTGCTTTTTTTTTTTTTTTTTTGGAAGCGGCTTTAGCAAAAAGAGACAGAGATTGTTTAGTGCGGAATTAATGACTTTACTTAACTTTGACATGTATTGGCTTCGCTAGGAATTTTTAGAATCTCATTTTTACCTCAAAAGTACATTTAACAAACAGGGCCTTATTGTTAGCCTCTCGAAGAACAATTGTGGTTGAAATGGCTCAATTTAGAGGGAACAGATTTTGCCGTTAGTTAAATATATATATATATATATATATATATACAGGCAAGAAAAATTACTAATATATATATATATATTGTTGTCAAAATAATTTGATATTAAACTGGATTAGAAAGTGCCCTCAAGAAAAAAAAATCATAGTAGCAAACTAGTATTTTGGTTAAATTTTAAATGTGTATGACAATCTCTCCAACGGCTTAGTGCTTATTTGGTAGGAGGAAAGATAGAAGGAGGGAGAGACGTCACCGGAATAGTAGAAGAACTTTTAGAGCCAAGATTTCTAAACTCGAATCAGCGAAGTGAACGGGGCCTTAGAGTATAGAGTATGTAATCCATGTCAAACACAATAAAAAAAGGGTTCCCTCTTTCCTTTTTCTTTTTCTCACCTAGGTTATATATGGCTTTCTTTCCTTTTTATTTTATTTTCGTCTTACCAAACATAACCTCATAGAAGTGTTATGAGTTTATTGCCCCTAATTTTCCACCATTGAGAACAATAAAATTGCTGAAAAGAAAAAAGCAATAAAAAAGAGCACACACAAAATTATTTATAGTGAATTTTGTCCATTTTCAACCACTGTATTAGTTCACTGTCATTGAAAGGAAGATTATAAGAGAAATCCCAGACTTCTCCAATTTATGTTTGTATCTATCTCTAACCTTTTCTTTTAAACCCTAAAAGCATCGCCATTTTAATAAAATGAAAAACAGGGCTATCAAAATTAAATGTGAAAATTATACATATGCGTCAAGATAATAATTAGGCTTAACAACTTAAAAAAAAAAAATATGACGACTACTATAATAATTCTTATTCAAGTGCTCAGCCTCACAAGCCAATAGAAAACGATTAGATTTGAGAGTGAGAGCTAATGAAAGAAGATGAGCTTGTTGTAAATATCAATCACCATCTCATAATCTCATTCCTACACTCTAGTTGAAAATTGCATAAAATTGTTGACCATTCTGAACATATCCTAGGAAGTTCAAGGGAAGTTAGTTTCTAAAACATTGGGTATCTAGAATGGTATCGAAATCAAAGATTGCTTAAAACTCCTAACAAGACAAAAGTGAGACGTCTTAGACTTTTGAGTGTCCCCTCTCCTTTATCCATTTTTCCTAAAACTATGCATCATTACAATTGCAGCCAATAATTAAATTCCATCTGCGCATTATCTTAAACATACATACGTGTTTTTTTTTTTTTTTCTTGACAAAAAAGAAAAAAAACAATTGAATTATCCAAAGTACTCTTCTTGGTATCAATTTGAGACACATCTCATTTCTCAGGCAGATAATACACAAATGTATTATATATTAGTTACGTGCTAAATATGCTACAGCTACTCTTACGTACCAAAAACATAAACGGCCAACATTTTCGTTTATTGCAATGACTTCTATTAGATAAGCTACGGCATCATGGCATGTTTGAAAATAATCAGAACCGAGCAGTCTATAGAAACCGCTGGAAAATTCTCCCGGTGGGCTGTCGCTGATGTCGTAGAACCGAAATTGCGAGTCATTGACCGATGAACGGCCCTGGCTCTTCATATTAATATTTTTAAAATGACTTGGTCAAAGAAAATAACACTAATGTGAATATTAAACGACTGCTTCATATAGTATACTATAATTGTAATAACATTAGCTTAAAACATAATATAATTTCCTGTAAAAAAGAAAAGAAAAATAAAAAGAAAGAAAAGGCACACAAGTTCACGTAAAAATAAGGAGCCTTTTAACATACAATTACAAGTTATAGGCAGCATAACATTAATAAGCAAGCCTCAATTACAAAACATTATTAAGAAACTAAAGAACACCGGCTACAATAATTGCCGTTGAACCCCATCATACATCATAATAATAGAATAGACCCCACTTTTACGTAATCAGAAAACTCAACCCAAAATAACCATGACTTACACAAATCTTGGTACACAATTTCTTATTCCTTGAACACCCCCTAAAAAAAAAAAAAAAAAAAAAAAACTCTCTCTCTTAATCTTGCCTTGCCAAGCATCAAAAAACCCAGAAAAGCCTACATGGAGATTAGTACTGAAAAACATCAGCAGAGGCCATAATGGGCTGGTTCAAGTAGGACAGATTCAAGGGGTTCAAGAAGCTCTCAATGGGCTCGGCAACAGCTGATCCAAAGACCCCACTATTGTTTGCATTCAAGAACGTGATAATCTCATCTAAGGACTGCAATCTGTGGCTGAGCTCACCCACCTGAGCCCTGAGGACAGAATTCTCTGCCTCAATGCTCATGTAGTGCTGGGTTGTGATGCTGACACGTGTGATGATCTGGTGGTTCTCCTTCCTCAGTTGGGCCACCTGGGCCGTCAGATCGTCCAGGTGCTTCTGCTTCCTCATCCTTGATCTCCTTGCTGACTCACGGTTTGAAATCATTCTTTTTCTTTTTCTCTGATCCATCAAAGCCTGCAAGTCTTCCTCGGAGCCTGAGTTCTGAAGCTGGCTTGATGACCCTGAAGATGTTGAAGAAGCCATGGACCCAAAAAAACAAAAAGACCCCCACAAATTTTTTTTTTTTTAACAGATTTCAAGAGAGAGATATGGATTTTTTAGCAGGACCCAGATAATGAAAGACACTGAAAAATATTAATAGCAAGATATTATAATGATATTATATATATAGAATAGCACTGGTTATTATATATCTTATAAGTAGAGATTTATATATATAGCTAAGGAAAAATGGAAAAAAATCATGAAACGTAGTAGAGCCAGTAAAGGAAAACAACTGAGAAAGATTGCACCAACTGGGTCCTGCGCCTGAATGTGGAATTAATTAACATACACTCAAGAAGAACGTTTTCACTGAGAATTGGAGACATGAATCTCAAACATCAAGAGCAATAAGTTGAACATCAAGATAGACTTTTATTTTTCCTGGAAAAATATTAACGGGGATATTTTTTTTCAACAAAATCACCCCTAACCTAGCAGAAATGGTGGGTTTCTAGAGTGAAAAGGACCAGACTTTATGATCAGTTTCGGATCCTTGAAAAAAACCCAAGAGAGATAAAACTAATCGGGAAAAGTTGGTTTGGGGAAGTATTCAAGAAGATGGGAAAGAAGCAACTAGTGAAGATCAAAGTGTGTAAAAGATAGCCTTCAGTTGAAAGGCTGAAACTGGGGTTTAAAGAAAACACTAAAAAATATATAGCAAAGGAGTGATGTAGAAGAAAAGGGTGGGCAAAGAGAGGAAAAGAGAAGAGGTCTTTGCGTGTTTAGGGACAGGAATTTATAGAACAAAAAAAAACACCATGGACCAACAAGTTGATGATTTTTTGTGATTTAATAATTGGGGAAAACAATAATACATCATAAATGTGGATTGAAGAAAAAAAAAACGTAGGAATCTTCTGTTGGAAAAAGAAAAAAAAAAATTGTTAGAAAAGTTGATGGGACATGTGAGTTGGGGGAAGAGAAGACTCCACAGTCCACAACTGTCCAGATCCAGCTGGGAACCAACAATCTCAGATTACATCAGGACACTGAGGGGTTATTCTTTTGTCTAAAATAAACTCAAAAAAAAAAATTAATCACATTTTAATTTTATTTAAGGTCATATTTTTTTAAATTTTAATTTTATTTAAATTATAATTATAATTTAAATTATAATTTAAATTTAACTTAAAAATTATACTCAAATTACACTCTAAAAGAATAATTCTTAAAGTTTTTTCTTTTTTATTTTATTTTTTGAGAGTTTCATAGCAGGACAATCTAGTAAGTAGTGCTAATTTATAACAGCTGAATCTAATTTAAATCATGTTAAATTAAAAATAATATGTAAAATGAATAATTTTTTTATATAGATTTAACGATTAAAAGTAGAAAATTAGTGATAATTTAGAACTCGTTTAGTTTGTTAATTCGAGTTTTAAATTTGAGTTAATATGTGATTTTATGTAAAAGCTTTTTATTGTAGTAAAAAAATTAGATGTGACTATTTCTGTAAACTTTTTATTATAATAAAATTAAAATTCTAAACTTAAATTAATAAAATAAATGAGACCTTATTTTTTTTATTATACTAGAAAAGCTCTATTTTTTTTTTTTCACCTGAAAAGTTAATAAATTATTTTAATATGAACCGTCCACTAATAGAAAGTAATTCGTGTAACAGATGGTGAATTCAGATCTATTGTCTCTATTTTTTTTTATCTTAGTAGCTTTTTTTTTACAAATTATTTGTAATATCATTTAAATTTAAAAATTTAACCACATAAATAAAAATAAAATATTAAAAATATTAAAATAATTTATGAGGTGTTAAAAATTAATTAATGAGACAACTATTAAGATAAAAAAAATAACATATCTTGATTCAGAATAGAACTCACCTTTAATTAGTAATGTTGAAGCGCCCCAAGTTTTTTTTCCTTTAATATTCCGTGTGTTTCATCACAGTACCATATTTATCTTTTTTTTATTATACAATTATTTTTGTGTTTTTGAAAAGAGTCTAAAGATACCCATTTAATTTAATTGCTTTAATTTCTAACAAATACCAAAACTACTTTACTAATCTAACATTAAATATTGTTTTGAACATTAATGTCTCATTTAGTCCGTTAATTTAAATTTTTAATTCGAGTTTAGATGTGATTTTATGTGAGAGCTTTTTATTGTAGCAAAAAAGTTAAATGTAATTGTTTTTTAGAACTTTTTACTATAACAAAACTCAAATTTTAAACTCGAATCGATAAAATGAACGGTGCCTAAATAACTAATAATAAAATAAAATAAACTAAGTTTTAAACCAAAAATTCTTAGAATAAAAAATAAAGAAAAAGCTAATGACAGAAATTGAGAACATTTTCGCTCGTCATGTTACCAATATTCCTTGCCTCCCCCTGTCTTGCTACAGCCCTACTGCTCCTCTGGCGCGATACCATCCATATTAGGGGTGTAAGAATTGAGCTAAAACCTGACTAACCCGTCTGACCCGACTCGAAAATATAGGGTTATATTTTTTTTTAAAAAAAATTCAGATTTAAATAGGCCCAACCCGTAATTTTACGGGTTGGGCCGCGGGGCGGGCAACATTTCACCCGAGTTACCCCGACCCGCCCGAGTTTGTAAGTGTAACCCTAAGTTCCTTCCTCCCAGCCTTCGCATGTCACACGCAGCCTCCCCTGAGTCCCCTCCAGTTTCACTTCAAGCCTCCGTCGCCTCCCAAGCCTGAGTCACCTCGATCTCGCCTCTATCTGAGTCCCAAATCCTTCCTCACTTTAAGCCTCCCTCGCCTCCCAAGCCTCGATCTCGCCTCCCTCACCCCCTCAGTCGCGCATTCTCTCCATTTTGCTTCTGTTTTCACCGTAATTGTTTTTTTTTCTTTATTCGATTCTATCAACATGTGGGTTAATATTTGTTCCAGCTTTATTCTACGTGTTATCACCGGATTATTCTCTTGATTGATGGATTTTAAGAAAAAAGAATTCATTTCTTTGCTCTGTTTGTGTTTCCTTTTGGTATTTTCTGTTTGTGGGGGGGTTTCATGTTTGTGTTTGTAGGTTTATGTGTGTGTGTGTATGGATATATATGTAAGCCTTTGTTTGTATTTCCTTTTGTTGTTTTCATGAAGAGTTTCAAATGGGTTTTTCTAGGCCCTGTTCAGTTTGAATCAAAATTTGTTCAAGTACTATTTCTGTTTTGGGGTTCCAATATGTATTTTAGTTTGAAGCAGTTACCATGTATTTTCATGATGAGCCGTGCTTTACATTTTTTGCTCCTCCGTTGTCGTCCTCATGTAATCTATATATATATATATATACATGTGTGTGTGTGGTATACATATCTTGGTGGTAGAAGATGTAAGGAGGCTTTAAATGAAAATTATGTGGTTGTACTGCTAGTGACCAGATCTAGCTATGAGATTTGAGGGCTTTCGAAATGCCCAGGCTCTATATGTGTGTGGTATACATATCTTGTTTTTGTTTTTGTTTATCCTCGTGCAAGCTATATTTGTTTTCTTATTTGATGTCATTTTTGTTTTCCTTTAGCTGGTACTTGTTATTGTTTCCAGGCCAGCCGAGGAAGAAGAGTCAAGAGAAGACTGCAATCTTCATTGAAGGCAAGGCTGAAATATAAAGGTTAGTTTTTTTTGTTTTTTTATTTTTTGTTTTCTGGAAAATATTATGTTTTTCATGAGAACTGAGATTAACTGATTTTAGGTTAATCTCTATACTTAGTCTCAATCATATGTTATCTGATTTTAGGTTAATTTGTGTGCTAGATGGAAAAATTTATCATCCGCCTGAAACAAACTTCTGAAAGCACTTGAAAGTCCTCTCCTGAAACAGAAAGTGACCAATGTCATACAAAAAATCCAACCTCTGTCTCTATGCCTAAAGAGCCCATTACCTTGCCCACTCCCACACCCAGCCCTACCCCTGTGCCTAAAGAGGAGGGAGCTAGTAAAAAGAGGAAGAAATCACAAAAAAAAGTCTCCTGTTTGGGATCATTTCAAAATCATAGAGGGTGAGGATCCAAATAAGCCTAGGTATAAATGTATCTATTGTGGGGCAACATATGCATGTGGTAGTAGGAAACATGGCACAAGTAGTATTGTAACACCCTGAAGAATTAATTGAGATTAATTAAGGTAATTGAGATTATTAGTGTGCCTAATCTGAATTATTAGTGTTCCTTTTCCTTTCTTTTTCCCTTCCTTTCCCGTGCGTCACTCTCCCTCACTCTCTCTCTCACTCTCCCGTGCTCTCTCCCACTCTCTCCCTCTATCATTTTTGTCCCAAATCAAAACGAATCTTGAACCAAAGAAAGATTTAAAGAAGTTTTCAACGTCAAGAGAAGGATTCGAGGTAAGATTACTGAAAGAACCTCTCTTGAATCTCAAGTTTTTGAATTTCAAAACTTATTTTTGGTTCAAACCGGATTTTGATGGTTTTTGAGTAAAACTAAAGTAGAAATTGGAGATCTTGGGTTCTTTGGACTTGTTTTAGGACCTAGATCCTAGATCTAGTAGTTTTCCTTTGAAATATCTCGATTTGGGACTGGATTTGCAGGTTTTGGACTGATTTCCGCAAGCTTCTCTCGCGCAGCTGATTCCACCAGTCGACCTGTGCGGTCGACCGGATCACATGGAAATCGGTTGACCTATGCGGTCGATCGGATTACAGGCTGACCGGTCGACCGGTCCGGTCGACCGGTGTGCATACTATTGGTCGACCGGTAGTGTTGCACTGCTCTGTCACCGATCGACTGGTGCACACGGGTTTAATCTTGTTTGGCCTGAAATTGCTGTTTTGATCCCTGTTTTCGGGGAGAACCTAAATTAGCTTCATTTGGGGACTTGAGATGAATGGATTAACATATTTAATCCTTGTTTTGAGATTGAAAACCCTTGGAATGATAATTTGAAACATGAAAATGGATTAGGGCACACTAATAAGAAATCTTGGTTGAAATTTGAGATTTGGATTGCTTTAGGAATGAGAATTAATCCTAAAGTGTTGTCTTACATCAGTGATCGCTGAGGATTCAGACTAAAGGGGCTTGAGAAAGCGGAAGCCAGAAAAGGCAACGCTAGTCCCAGGTTTGATAGTGCGAGGTAGGATTTCTATCCCTTTTCCTTGTGAGCCTGTTTTCAAAAAGGATTTCGGCCTTGAAAATGTTTTAAAGAAAGGGATTTGTTTGCGAAAGAAAAACGTTTTGAAAACTATGGCTTGTTTAGTTTATAAAATCCATGGCTTGTCCTGCCCATGGAATCCATAGCTTGTTTAGTCATGGAACCTCATGGCTTGTCCAATCATGGGGCCCACGGCTTGAGTAGTTCATGGGGTCGTATTAACGATTTCAAAATGTTAATGAATGATTTCTTAAGCAAAGAGATCTTGTGAACTGGTAATAGAGTCTATTGCTGTAAGCCTAGATAGGATGCGGAGAGTGCATCCTCGGGGGCAGAACCCGAAACTCGGTCCGGGTAGGCGAGGCACTTGGTTAGGTAAGTAATTTGTACTAATTACTTGCTGAAGCCTGTAAAACGGTTATTTATAGTTACATTTCCTTTGAGAAAAAAGGATGTGAGGTTCCGGCTATTCTGTCGGGACTGAATGTCTTATTTTATTACTTATTCATTTATGTATTCCCTCGCACATTTATTATTCATTTATTTATAACGTTTATTTCAAATTATATCCTACTGGGCCTTTCGCTCACGTTTTATGTTTCAAATGTATTAAACCCCTCCCAGGAGATTCTAGGAGTGGTGCACAGTAGCTGGATACTTG